GACAAGGCACTTGAGCAGTATTCAACACTCAAATTATTACAGAAAGAATTGGGTGATTCAGGAGACCCAGACAAGGAAAATATTGAATGAACTGTCATCTCTGATGAAGCAGAATGGAGCAGACACTCCCATTTTTAAAAAGATTGTCTGATTATTAAGGTTTTCTTATAATGCCTCTCAGCTACTGTTTAAATTCATTTTAAATGCTTTAGGACCATCCAAAAGTGGGAACTCCAGAATTTCACTTCGTTGTGCTCTTCACTGCTGCTCTCAAGTGCTTTAAAAGGTGACATTAGTGCCACACAGCCTGTAATGACTAATGCTTGGCTGTCTCCTCTGGCCTCCTGTGGTCATTCATCTCCTGCTTTGGGTTTCTCCCTGAACTGCCCATTGGTCTGGGGCTTATTAAAAGGGTAGAGGGATGATTATTTTATCTCACATCATCAGCAGGAAAGCGACTGCTCTTTGCAGCTTCTGCTGAAGGAAAAAGCCCCAGATGAATGAACAATAAAAAGGGCTTTGTTTCCTGTGTCTCTTTATAGCACAGGGAGTTTTGAGTGTTGCCCAAGCACTGGGGATTTAGGGGATTATAGTGAGGACATTTGGAAGCACCTGGATGCAGATTGAGCTGTTGGGCTGCTGTAGCTTCACCATAACCTTCCCTACAGTTCAGTTTGAGTGTAGGATGGGTGCAAGGGCATCCAGAGGAACACCTCAGAAACCTGAGTTAGAAATCCAAGTATCCATTGTCATCTGCCCTGCCTCTCTGCACCCAGCAGCACAGAGAGCTTTGCTCACCCTGTGCCCACCTACAGCTGTGTAGTGACTGATCACTCTGATGTGGCCCAGACATGTCCAGTTATTCCACCTGAAAGCAGTTGATCTTGCTCAAAGATCAGGAAAAGCATGTGCTGGAGAGATTCAGTTGTTGAGCTCAGCCTCCTGCTGAGCCAGTACTCTTTAATTTGGAATTACCACAAAAGATGCAACTCCGACATGAATTCTTGCCTTTAAAATACTGAAGTGAGCCAAAAATCACAGCCTTTAAGTGTTCCAGGCATTTTAATGATGGTGAAGGTCAAAGACAAAGTGCAGACTGTGGCAGTGAGGAGGTGTCAGAGACTAATGCAATTCTTATTTCCACCGAGGTAAGTGGAGCTCAGAGTGGAAGAAGGGGGGAGAACACAAGATGGGCTACAAGGAGAAGGAAGGACTGCAGTCAGCAGTAACACAAATAACATCCCAAAGCTCCATCATTTTGTAGTGTCCCAGAAAGCCCAAGGATGCTCTTGCCCTTGTGGCAGCAATTAGAGGACTACAGAAAAGGGAAGCATGGCCTTTAGAGAAGGGGCTGTGTGATATGGTGGTGCTGGGATGACCAATTCCTCTTTGATTATCTACCAGCTCCACCTGGGAGAGGCAGGGAAGAGAGGGAAGCAGGTGATTCCTGATAGAGTCCACCTGGAAGAAGGCTATAAAAGGGGAGTTGTGGCGCAGTGTAAATTCTTGAGCTAAGAGGAGGGTAGAAAGTGAGAGGCTAATGCTTTTTAGTCTGTTTGGATTTTTTTTTTCTAAAAAAACTTTATTTGTTTTATTTATTAAAGAATAAATTCCCTAGCTTGCAATGTGCTCCTGCAGGGTTTTTGAGTTAACATTAGAAAGCCTATTTGAGAAAGGTGCTGAAAAATCCCTGGTCACTGCATTGAGCTCTTCCTGGGTGAGTAAATATTGTTCTATCTCATACTACAGCAACAAAAAATAGAAAGGCTTGAGCAAGTTCTTACTCCCTGTTTGGGTAGTGCAGCTTTGCTTGTGCCCGGTTAAAAAGAAACTTTAAAGGTGAAAGTTTTGTATTTTTTCTGTGTGGCACTTCCAGGTACAGCATAACCAAAGGTTTCTAAGAGTTTTTTGCTAAATCATTGATGCCAGTGGACTTTTGTGTGGTTGGGAACCGACACCATTTGCAAGTACACAAATTCAGTAATTCTGCAGATTAGCTGATGACTTCTTTTTCCTGCTAAAATCAAGCACTGAGATAATATATTGGCAGGCAGGAAAGGGAGACATTCATTTGCAGAGGCTTGCTAGGCTCAAGATAGATCTCTGCAAAGCTTGGGAAAACAGCTTTCTGTGGCTCTGCTGAGTTCCTGTTTAATTACTGAGCCAGACATGACCTTGCACAACTTGTACAACACAAGGGACTAGGAGATCTTCTGTGGTAAACACAGCCCATAAGAACTCTGTTCTTTAATCTCTGTTTCTCTGGCTGATGCCACCCTTTATAAAACTCCATATTATCCCTGAAGCGCCTAATTGAGGAAAGGCTTTGCGAGGGAATAAAAACATTGGAGTTACAGGAAGTAATTACAGGGGAACAGGTTGGCTTGTATTATTATGGTTACATACTAATATTGTTATCAGAAGACTCATTTCTTGTTGTGCCCTCTGGGTTGGCAGTTATGTTTGGTCCCTGAAGAGGTTGAACAGGGTGATGTTATTTAGTGGTATTTTTCACCCAGGTTAGGAGGTGTAGGGCTGTTTACTTGGGTTTTTTGCATGCATCTGATGTGTATTAAAGCATTTCCAGGGGACTTGGGTGTGCATGGCACCTTAGGAGAGTCTAACAGAGAGTCCCTATAGCCCTGCAAAGTGAACAGCTGGACACAGCCACTCCTTCATGGCAATGCTTTGGCATCACTTAAACATCAGCCTCCTAAATGCTTGTTATTTCTGCCTCTCGAGCAGAGCTGCTCTGCCTTAGGGGGCGAAGGCAGGTCCCCTGGTTCTCAATTGCCTCCTGTCCCAAACGACTGGGGAGATTGTTCTCTAACTGGCTGTAATTATCCTTTTCTGTAAGCTAACCAAAGTGCACTCTGATTTCGGTGTTATGTTCATTAGCAAGTGCTCTGGTTTGTGTGTTAATGCATTCTGGGAATGTCCAGTCTCTAAGAATGGACCCATGTGAGCAGCAAATGTTTGTGAGATACCCTGAGGAACAAATCTGTGCCACGTCACTGATTTGAAATTAAGCCACAGAATACCTACAGGTGGTCAAGTTGCAGGTGGATTTGTGTGTGAACATTCATCTAAAGAGGGAGATGAACTCTTTATTGTCCCCAAAAGAACACTTGATGGGAAGGTGGGTTCTGAGCCTGTGCCTGCCAAAGATTCCTCCCCATGGTTTGTGTTTGTGGCATGATTCTTGTTTGAGGTGAGGAGAGGGTTTATCCCGTGAGTGGCACTGTTGGTGGTTTTGTGATGAAAGTGGGCAGCTATGTTGGCACTGGAGAAATGTGGGAAGCATGAAAGCTTCCCTTCGTACCTTGACTCAAACATACTCCATAAAGGAATGCTCACCACACATTCCTTGCAGAAAGTCTGGATCCTAGCAAATTTTCCTTGTTGCTGTCTAGATATTCAGTAGTGTGGACTGGTGGGTTTTCAGATGGCTAAATGTGCATGCAGCATATAAAAATAATGCTGAATGCTTTTAACAGCAGCCAGCTCCTACTCAGGCCCCTGGATCTGGAGTTTTTTGCCGTGTCTCCTATACTGAGCGTGGAAGTGTGGCTGCTCTGCCAAGCACAGGAGGAGAGGTTTGCCTGGCGATGTTGTTGATTGCTGGGTAATAAAGGAGGTGACTTGTTATTTTTTTAAGCATAATGAGATTATTCCAGTGAACAGTATGACCTGAATCTCCAAGTGTCTCTGTGTGGACTCTCCTCTGCTGGTAATGGGGGCTCTTTAACCCGTGTGGAATAATAATAGACTTCCTTAGTGGAGCAAACCACGTCAGAGAGACGCTCTCAAAAATGTGCAGGTGGAAAGCTATTGCTGGAAAACTTGTTTCACAATTGCCTTCTCAGTTAATTTCCTCTTGTATCCAAGCCCTTTCTCAGAGCATTTTCCCCGGTATTTCCAGAGAGAGAGAGCACTTGATCACTGAGCTTGTGCACAGTGCTCAGATCTCAAAGACACCAGGCACTCCAAATCAGCCCTGATGAGCATTCATATGCCTGGTTTGGCTAATAGAATTACCCAAACTGTTCTGATGTGCAAAATGGTTTTAATTGTATATGAGAATATTGCTTTTGCTGGGTGTTTTGATACGTCAGTGGTCCGGATGAGGAGGCAGATGAATACAGAAATTGTAGACGCGGAAATAAGAATTTAGAAATTAAATAGAAATCTGCATTTCAAAACAAAAGGCTTCCTTATTGTCCTTGAAAGCATTGGGGTATTTACAGAAAAAAACCCCTCTAGAATAAAGGCTTGAGAATGTGCTATTGCATGCTTAAGGACTTCAATTAATCTCTGAATATGATTCCCACATGTGGAAAATTACAAGGAAATAACTGTCATGCTATAGAGTTGTGTCTGTTCCTTCCAAGTTGCACGCATCTTTGAAAATTACTGTGAACAAATCTAGTAGCATCCCTGGATACTCCAGATCATCAAATAGGTGTAAAGGAGCCCCTGAAGCCCTGTTGGCTGTTCACTGTGTCAGATGGTTATGTCACTTGCTCCAGTGTATGCTGTGCTTCCATCCTGTCACTGATACCTTTAAATGTTTATCTCAAATTTGGGCTGTAATTTTTTTGGCTTTTTTTTTTTCTTTTGCTCTTTTTGTTCTTTCTCAATACAGTGATAGTGAGGTTTAAAAAGGCAACCATCTTCTATTGTTCTGTCTACTTTAGAGGAATAGTGAAAGAAATAATACAGGAAAGGCCTATAAATGATATTTTTGATATATATCTATCCCCCACATACATGTGTATGCCCCTCCATACATCCACAGGTGCATCTCTGGATGTGTGTGGGCAAACAGGCTTTTAAAGTAATCTCAGATTGTGGTTTCTGTATCTGCTGGCTGCAGTTGTGCACTATGAGCCTTTATTAGGAAGTGGAGCTTTCCAGATTTTTCAAGCTTTTTGTCTGTTTTTGAACATCCATTTGCACACACGTGTGTCTGGGATGGTATCCCCCAGTCCTTGCCTTACCTTCACATCGTCGACATTCATCCTCGTTCCCTCCTTCCCGACGAAGATGTCGTCGATGTCAACCAGAATGTACCTATCCAAGGACAGCGTGAGCTTCTTTCCCGACAGGAAAGAGATGGCGTCGATAAAGATCAGTTTGTGCAACCAGAAGGTCAGGTTGTTTCCAAAGAGGACCCTCTGGATCCCATCATGGAGCCCCAGGTCCTGGATGACGGTGGGGTACAGCGCAGCCCTGGGCAGCGCCGGGGGGGTGGCTCTGGAGGGCTGCAGCTCCGTTAAAAGCACCGGTTGGTAGGTGGAATGGTTGAACTGGAATACTGTCCAGTCCTCCCCGGGCAGGGGCCCTTTCTCAGCCCTCGGCGCCTTGGTGATGCGCAGCAGGGGCGACTGGGGGTTCACCACGCAGTCCTTGAGGGCCACGTTGTTGTAGAGGTGCAGTGGCAGCCCTTTCAGTTTGGTGCTCGGGGAGCTGTTCTCGTTGGCTTTATGAAAACCAATTATGCTAACACTGTATTCCACACAGTATTTTTCCAGGAGCTCTCTATTCCACGAGTCCATGGATACGTACTTTAAAATATTCTCGTATATAACAATCGTGTATTTCCCTCTTCCATTATCTGTGAGAGGGGGAATATCCCCCTTGGCTGGTGCTATGACCATGTGGTACCGGAATCTGCTGGACTCAAGGATGGCTATGATGTCTTGCCCCAGCTGGGAGTACTGGCTCTCCACAAACAGCAGGACAGTGGGATCAGTTTTGGACGGATCAATTGGCTTGGCTGTTCTCATCTCCACAGACCTGTAGGGTAGAAGTTGGAGGGGTTCACACTCTGCTTCTCTGGTGGTTTCCATGAGGGTCATTTCCTGCTTGTATCCAGTGTAGAGGAAGTAGGCAGAGATGAGGATGCTGGCCAAGCAGAAGGCTGCCAGGAGAATGACCAGCGTTTGGAAACTTCTGCGGAGCTTCACGATTAGATTCATCTTTCGTGGGACTTCCCAACTGCGGTTGGACCTGCCGCTTCTCCGGTTCTCTCTCTTCCTAAAGTTCCATGGGAATGAGGAGCTGCAGAGGTGCCGATTCCCCTCCCGAGACGTTCATGTGACCATTGCAGAGCATTTATGAAGCTGTCAGGGAGGTTGTAAAGCTGTCGGAGCGGGAAGTCAAAGGATCCGGAAGGCTAAATTGAAAGAGGTTTTCTCAGAATGCGGCAGCTGCCAATAATCAATGAAGAGAACTCTCAACATTATCTGCAACAAGAAGGAAAAGAAGAGAAAGTAGAATAAAATCCATAAAGCAATTAAAAACACACGTTAATAAGGCTGGTGATTGATGCTGGTAATCTGGGTTGAGAGGGAAGTTTGTGAGCAGCTCAAGGAGCACTCAGTGTCACTTTGCTTTCTTGATGCACTGGGAGAGGCTGCATCAAACAGCTCTGCTCTGTTCTCAGGGTATAAAAATTAAGTCTAAACATAACTTTTTGAGGATGTGTATCTATTTTTCAGCATTTCTTATCTGAAATGGTTCATTGCTTTTGCAAATGGGAACGACTGCAGATTGTAGGGCAAAATTAGGAAAAAGTAAATGTTATTTAAACATGGGGATGTATTCCATGTCAAGCTGCATAAGTATTTTGAAGGGGTGATAAGTTCTATGTTGGACTGGGAAATTAATGTGAGCAAGGTGAAAGACGCGAGAGGACTTTGAGGAAAGACTTGTAGGACTTGTCTCTCCAGTTTCCATTCTGTACTTGGAGTGATCAGTACTTCACAGTCGTTTTAAGGAACAATAAGGGTTGTGCAGGGATTTTCCAAGTGGATGAGCAGGCTGTTAAAGCTGCAGGGTGCAGCTGTGCATGCCTCTGCCTCCATCAGGGATCAAAGGGAGGTGCTATGTAGAGTGAAAAGTACCACAAGGGAATTTTGTGAGTGTTGGGTGGGCACACAGGTGCGTGTCCTGGGCCTTCAGTGTCCCTGCATGGATGAAGTACAAGGTGCTCAAACCTCACTGCCTGGCAGGCTCTGAAGCTCTTGTGCCATTCCTGGTAGTTCTCCCTGCAATCATGACAAATTGCCATTGGTAACAGTAAACCATATGACTCAGAGGCAGTTCAAGCTAACTAAATAAATAGCCCGTGCTGTTCTATGGATTTATAAAGGAATTAACATCTTCCTGAATTATTTATGTTGTTTGGCTGTTGGAACAATGCAAGATGGTAAACAATGGATAATTTTGGAACTGCAGGGAAGAAGTGCTTTTTCCAGGCAGGTACTTGGCAGTTGATGTGTCCTCCTCTAACAACTTGGGTTACATGTTGAGTTTTATTCTGAAAACTATTCATTTATCTTAAGCTTTGCACCTAAAACTGGAAAATGCTTGTAGGAAGCATTTAGAGAGAGGGAGTTGTTGCTGAGGCCATTTGTGACTTTGCCAGGTTCAGGTTTGTGTCTGATTTACCTTCCTCAGTGGGAGATTGATCCCCCTGGATTGTGGGCTATTCCATTCCATCAGTGACCCTGCTGTGTGTCACACAGCAATGGGCCAAAAGGTGTGAGCGAGGCGGAGAGTTTACCCGTGCACAGAAGTGAACAGAAACGAGAAAAACGTCCTGCATTTACTAATTCCTCACGTGTGAGAGAAGAAATATAAAAGAAATCACAGCCATCACAAGGAAATTAAAATCATCCTGATAATTTTAGGAGTATTTGCCCCGCTTTGGTGCTTCCCTTGTTCCGCGGTTCTGTCTGCTTGCCGGGATTTTGCTTCTTATTAAACCTCTAATTAAGATTTCCTCAGAAGATAAAACTGGATCAAGTGAAGCGTCCTCTGTGAACTCGTGTTCGAGTAGTGGTGACGTTGATGAGTCACTCAGCCCGACTCCCGGGCTTTACCAGTTCAGGAGAGCAGCTCTCGGTGGGAAGGGCAGCCTCGAGGGGTGGGTGGGTGGGTGATCTGCCCCCCAAAATAGCCGATTGCAACAAGCCTTAGTTGTGTTGGCGTGAGACAGGCAGGCGTCTTGGAAAAAAAAATAATTGACCCCCGTCGGACTCTGCATCCTCCGCTTGCTTTCGGCACTAGAGGGCAATATATTCTTGCTTTTTAGAGCCGACACCTGCTCTCCCCTCGGCTCCAGAGCGCGCAGCCCTGCCCGCGGGCGCGCTCCCTCCAGGAGGGGCTCCGAAATCCCCAGGGCGGGTAGAACGTCTTAATTAAGGCTCCTGTGTTTAAAATTAAATAAAACCCAGGGCTTCTGCTCTAAGAAGTGTGCTGCTAAATCACCCTGAGTACTTAGCAAACATTTCAGCCCACACCTGTGGCACAAGGGAATGGTATGCGAGGAGACCTAAAATTGCACATTTTTCCCTCAGAATAGCATGCAAGGAGACCTGAAATGACACTTTTTCCCCCAATCTGCGGTCCTGCTGGATCTCCTGGGTACTGCTACTGCAAGCTGTCAAAATAAACTTCACAAATACTATTGCTTGTATTACTAAAATGAGAAGCCTCTGACTTTATAGAAGCCAAAACAAAACTACGTCTTCATCCCAAATTATTTCCTCCAAATAATAACACTGGTAAAATCTCTTCCAGTTAAAATATTAATAATCAGGTTTAATGTAAACTACTATCTATTGTATGCAGATGTTATAACAGGTGCAAGCATTCTCACTTATCTAGATGTCTAAATACTAGAATTGATAAGGAATTTAAACTTCCCTATGGAAACCTGGCATTGGAGCAGGCCTTCCTTTCAGTTTGCACATTTTGTTTGAACTGCTCTGTTGAATTGATTATACTGTTCAGTAAAAAAGAATAGTGTGAAGTAATTAAAGTTTATGAAAATAAATCAGCTATATTAGCCATTAGTGGGACATTTTCCAAGGCATAATTGGAAGTTAAGTGCCATTTGTGCCTTTGAAACTCTCCCCCTTAAAGTTCAACAGCTTTATATTCGCTCAGAAATTCAGAGACCTTTGGAGAGTTCCTGTGCTATATTAATTTGAAAAACATGAAAATAGGCCGTATTTCATAATTAGTGTTACTAATGGAGTTTTAGAAACCGGTATTTGAGGTCCTGTGTTCCTGTGGTCACTGATGAGCACTCATTGACTCCGCAGGGGGGTCAAGCCCAAAGCTGGGCACACTTTGGTCAGGGAATCAAGGAGTTGGGCTCTCAGTAGATCTTCAGTTGTGGGGCCTTTCCCCAGCAAGAGCAGAGCTCTGCAGTGTAACTCTGTTGTGATGTCAGACATCTGCAGGGACTGTAATTTTTCTTTAGTTCAGGCAGCTGAAGAAAAACGGAGGTTTAAAAATTGCTGCCTCTTTGCTAAATAATACTTCCTGCTTTCGCCCTGCAAATGGATTTGATTGATGACTGAAGTGCACTGATTTGGAAGATGATTGATTGGGAGATTAGGACTTGACTATTTAAAACCGATAGCGTGATAGTGAAGAGAAACAGCCTCTTATTAACACCATGTGTTAGCATTGCATCAGGAATTAAAGCTGTGATCCCCTTGTGCTCCAGTTCCTACACACAGACCTTCTTCCAGAGGTTGGTGGTGGAACAAGCAGGTTAAGAGCACGTTGCTGATGACAGCCCTGAGGAGAGGAGCGGGACACTTGTACCAGAGCACTATGGTCATTCCTAACCTCCTGTCTGCACCCGAGTGTGTCCCTGGGAGTAATTCACCTGCAGGCAGGCCAGAGGTTTCCTTTCATCTTATTCCAGCATCAGTCAGAAGTCAGAATGTCTTTATTTTCTATATATAAGACTTCCCTTTAGGCTAAAAATCTAATGTAAACCCTTCCCTCTTTTCCTTCCTCTCCAAGCTCGTATGACTCCTGCCGTTTACCAGCAGCCCAATGAATCATGATACCTGCTTGCTGCTCCTTGCATGACTCCTCATTCATTACAGAAACAAGTGACTGATTTGAGTGATATATGACTCCTGTTGACCATTAGCAAAAATTCAGAGTTTCTGTTCACTGCAGAGAGAAAAAAACCCCAGCTTTTTTTGTGTTTGGTTTTTTTTTTTCCTTCCAGAAAAGTTTCTAAGAGACCTTTTTAGGGAGCTCACAGAACTTGTATGCTTCTTGAAAGTAACTTTTTTTTTTCTTTCTCAAGCTTAAGGTAGTAATGTGTTCTGTGCTTATAAGTCTGGCTTTGCTCATAAGGGGTGTTGCTGACAGCTGCTCATAGCTCACCACAAGGATTTAGAAAACTCTTTTACCTAGACAAGGGCAGCTTCTCAGCTGGTAAAAGCTGTTGCAGGTCTTCTGGCTTCCGTTTTATGATTTCTGAGTGGAGAGGCTGCTCAGCACTTTGATCTCTTCTGTTTGTTTTCAGTGCATAATCATCTGTATTTGAAACCACCAGTTTTTCAGTATTTTCAGCAGTTTGGTCAGTCTATAGTGCACATGTAATCTTGTGTGATTTCAGAAAGCTAAATGATGCCAGAGGGTGAAGTCAATAATCAATGAATATAAAGCAAAGTGCTTGAAATACCTCAACTTGTGCACTCAATGAAAGCTGGAGTGGTCTTAGCATGAAACAATTCTTGGAAGGGAGCTGTTTGACCCTTCTGGCTTCTATCTCTCTGTGGCTTTCAGCTTTTCCAGATGATTTCAGAAATTGGAGCTTTGATGAGAAGGGCTCCCTGCAGCAGAGTGGCCAGAGTTGTCTTTGGAGATGGGTTTTACACATGTACCTATGATGCTTTTAGCCAGGCAGCTATAACTTCTGCAGGAATTCTACAGGAATTGGTGGGATGCTTTTACAAATGGGAACTAATGGGACTGTTCCTTCAGCAAATCCTCCCTCACAGATTCGTTGCCTCCTTTGTTTCCCCAGCTCACATGTAACACTTCGTGTTGCTTTACTTGTGGCAGAAATGTATTATAAGACTTAACTAAACCACACTTGTGGTGAATGTTGCCTGATGTGCCTCAGCACTTCTTTCTTCTGACCCATTAACTTCCAACAGCCCCACAGTCATTTGGACCACCCAGAAACTCCCATAAATTTCCCATCCGTGATGTTTCGGTGACGTTTCCTCCAAATGTCACAATTTATGGATCTCTGACGCCTCAGTACTTCTGAACATAATAAGCAGTTGTAATATTTCCTCAGAAATAGCTGACTGCTGATTTCTCTGGAGTGTCAGGCGTGGAAGCTCCTGGAAACCAGTAATTTAGGTACAGTCTTAGGAGAAATGTGTGAAGAGAGAGCCTGTATGTGTATTTCTTG